GCCCGCAAGAGTCTGGGGCGCACCAAACGTGCGCGCCGCTCATGCAGCAGGAGACGGTGCCTCTCGGCCTCGGGTGTCCTGGCCTGTGCGGCTGCCAGGCCTGCCAGCTCGTCGGCGGCTGCATTGCCGATGATGAGTTGCTTGATGCCCTCACCTTTGGCCATCTGAACTGCCGAGAGATGAGACTGAGTGGAAAGAACAGAGACATGCTCGGTGGGACGGGTAGCCATGATCTGACCGATGGTCGCCCCTATGTCCGCACATCAGCTCCTTTGGGGTGGCAGAACCTCTGCTCATGCCATCCCGTGACAACATCTTCAACATCGGTGACAAACGTGAGGTGGTGGGTGGTGGCCCACAGTGCCAAGTGCATGCGCTCGAGCTCTCGTCTCGCTACCACCTGTCTCAGTCCACACGAGGGTCTAAATATAGACCCCCTGGGACAGCTGGTGGGTAGCAAGCTCTCGAAACATGTAATGGCCAAATCGACTCGGCGAAGCCTGGGACATCGACTGTCTGGGCCCCCACTGGCGTCGCCAAAGATCAGCGCGGGGTTGGCGGCGGCGCCTGGCCTACGCATGTCAGGCGCCAGCTCTTGCCCACCCGCAAACTGCTGGGCCTCGGTGGTCGGGGGTGGGCTCACCTCCGTCCAAGGCGCGGGGGGGGGCCGCGCAGCAAAAAAAAACCTCGGCCGCGTTGCACTGGGTGGCCGCTCGTGCGCGCAGATCGGCCGAGTCGCCGCATGGCTTCGCTCCAACATTGCACGCGCACTGCCCATGTCAGTGGAGCGGGGCCCCCGCGTTCGTGCCGCACGTGTCGCACTTATCCGTGGCCTGGTAGTTCTTGAGCTCCTGCACTTTCCGCTGCGTGTTCCATGCGCCCCCCCCCCCCCCCCCCCCCCCCCCCCCCAAACGCCCTGAAGCAACCATGGCTGTGATCTCGCATAGCCTCTTCCCATTAGGTACCTGGGACATGTGCTTCAGCAGCTGGATGTATGAAACACTTTCTACTCCCATCTCCAGGCCGCCTCCACAGAAATGCCTGGCGGTTTGAGTCCAGAGCTGGGACTCACATGCCGCGCGCACATCTGCCAGGAAGTCGTCGTGTCGATCAATGCGCGGGTTGCCCGTGTAGATTTTGACTGGGAGCTGCCACTCCTCGCTGCTGTCGGGACCTGTCGGGCATGACCATGTCGATGGGTCCTAGGGGTGCCATCCCAGGCGCAACAGCGAGTGCATGATGGTGCCCGTGAGGCCCTTGATGAGCCGCACCTGTGCTGGCGCAAGGATGGCCTGCATCTGCCGTAGTGTGATAGGCCACGCTCGCCGTGCCCCAGTCCGGGTCTCGGGTCGGTCGCGCCATGTTTCGGGCCAAGTGTCCACCGTCTGAATAGGGTAGAGCACAGCAGGGTGGGCCCCTGGGGCCCGCGGGGCAAACGCAATGGCGAGGCGCCGCCCCTTCGCCGATGAGGCACAAGCCTGCGCGAGACGACGGCGGCATCTTGTGAGTTGCTCGCCGAACAGCCCGTGGACCTGGTGCCCGTGGAGGCCTGCTGGGAGCCCACCCCTGCCGTTAGAGCTTGGACATGGCTCCGTGCTGGCGCGTGGCCCTGGTGAGTCTACGTATCTTAGAACTGAACTCATGAGCCGATGCTTCTTCTCACGCTGAACTCTGGTTGTGCGCGCTCTCCTGCCGCGTCCGAAGTCAATGCCGAGGTACGTTGCATGGGCGACAGGCGGCACCGCGAAACCTGCTCGACGGACAAGACGGGCGACAGTACGGGCATCACTCATCAAACTACAAACTACAACAGACTTATCCACAACCGTAAGCTTCCGTTTCTGGAGCTCCTGGCACGTGGTGATGATGCCACTGGCGAGCTCCAGGCGACGGCCTTACTCGATCCCTTCACCGTCTCCGACACGTCCTCCACCCAGAGCCTCGCCCCCATCCTGGGATGGGCGGTGGTGACCGTGATCATGGCGTGGAGCGTCAACATGTTGGCGAAACGGGTCCCTGAGCGGAGCCCCTGCGCGACGCTGAGGAGCGGGTCGACGAGCTCTGAAACTGCCTTGACGTGCTCCAAGCATCTCAGGGCTGCGCACTGCAACAACTCAAGATACATAGTGACAGGAGGAACATGTAGCCGCATCGCGGCCGACACGAGGATGTCCCACGGGATGCTGTCGTAGAACGTGGCAATGCCCAGCATCCCGTGGCCGTGCTTCATTCCCGTGGTGAATGCCAGCTCCTCGCCCAGCGCCCGCAGGAACGCTTCCTGCATGCGCGAGTTGCCTGGCAGGGCTGCGTCCCAGTGTCGGGCGCTGTCGGCCGACCATGTCTGTGCATGAGGTTCCTGTAGAAGTGACCACGGGCGGCCGAGCATCGACGCCAAGCCGATGGCCCGATCACCCGCCGTCTTCTTGGGGGTGAACTTCCCTACGCCGGCGAGCGCTTGCGCAAGCCGCGCTAGGGTGTGCTCGACCGCCTCCAAGATGAGGGGCAGCTCGGCCCGGTCCTCGACTGGGAGCCTCTGGTAGTCCACAGGCGTGACCATGTCGATGCCCATGCCAGCCTTCGCCTTCATACGTGATGCCGCTCTGGAGATGTCGGCCACCTCCATATGCGGGAGCGGTTCTTCCACCGCTCTCTCACGGATAACTCTGAACAGCTCTCGAACGTCCTGCATCTTGGGGGCCGTGGGGGCCCACAGCTGCTGGTACGTCTTCGCTTTCGTGTCCATGATGTCCCTCGGGTGGTAGGCCAGCTGCTGGCCAACCACGATCCCCACAGGTGGGAGTGGTCCCTTCTTGAGCGATGTGTGTAGTATGCCGCTGGCCTCGGGCTCGACCACGAACGCTCGGAAGTCGCTGATGGCCGACAGGACTGCGAGCCTCTGGGCTCGCTGCACGATCTCTCCGCGGCGTGGGCGAATGATTCCACAACCGCAAGATGAAGCTGGCACTGGCTCTCGAAGATGCGGAACCACTCACTCCAAAGGGGCTCTCGACCATCTCTCAATACCGTGTGGGCACCGTCTGGTCTGTCCCCTGCTGCCTTCTTCGCCGCGATCTGGTACTGCTCCAGCTGGTGCCGCCCGTTGTATCTCTTGCGGTGCCTGCTGATTCCTGCTACGATCGTGTGCACCTGGGTCCACCACTGCGCTCTCTGGTCTCGTATGTGCACCTGTCGCCTGTGGGCTGCCTGTCTGACTGGACCCTCCTCGAATCGCGCGCCCTGTGCACACAGTCCTGTCCCGAGGCGAATCCAACCTCCTCTCGGCTCTCAACCCAAAGTTGGCTGGGGATGGCAAACGTGGGCGGCGACGGCGACTCACCTCCAGGGGCCTGTAGCGGACTGGACCCAGGGTCGGAAACTTGGGTAAACTGCCGTTCTACTTCATTGTTTAAAACGCTGTCGTTGCTTGGGGGGGGGGCTAGCTCGAATTGTAGGGGGTGCTACACTGCTTCTGCGACTGACCATATTCCAGCTGCATCTCCTGGGAGCGAACGCGTACTCCTACCTCCGAGCTTGGGTCGGGGAGGACGGGATGAGACGGGGAGGTGGGGGCGTTGCTCGACGCGAGAGTGAGGAGGAAGAAGGAGGAGGAGGTGGAGGAGGAGGAGGAGGAGGAGAAGGAGAGTGAGGAGGAGGAGGAGGATCCTGGGGCTGCCTGGCCCCACGTAATACAGGACCAGGCAGAGAGCTGGCTTGGCGTGCCCCGCCGCCCTGGGGGAGAACGTGACCCGCGCCCTGTCGCGTGCGCAGTCGTGAGTGCTCGATCATGCGGAGCGAGGTTTTTAAAGGGGCCCAGGGACAAACACACATAACGACACACACACATCTCATGTTTCCTCATATTTTCTCATCTGTTCTTGATGTTTGTATTCCCCCCGCTTCCCATATGTTACCCTATTTCCCAAGGGGGTCGACGATTAATTGTGTCTGTGTGTTTTCAACCTGCCGAGTTGTGACAGGACCTGAGTACGGTGAAGTGTGATCAATAAGGTCGGCGGCGCACCCGTGGAGGAAAGCAAAAGGGGGCAGGCCTCCTCATGAAGGTTCAGAAGGCCTCCGGCCTTCTGGGAAGCTTTTTGCAAGCCATCTCCGAAGACAGATACGGCTTCTCAGAAAGCCAGAGGGCTCCGAAACCGCCTTTGAGAAGGGCTGCTCTCTCTTGCTTTCCCACCGGGCGCGCCGCCGAGAAGCAGGTTTTCCAGCTGCGCCTTCGCCAACGCGGCCAGAATAGAGGCCAAGTGGTGGCTTCTCCATGTCCAGGCGTGGCGAGCCCCTGCTCAGCAACACCTCGCTGCAGGTAGACCTGGGCGCTGCCGTCACCGGCTCGACTCCAACAGCCCCGCGCAGAGGAATGCACGTGGTAAAGATCACTTGCCCGCCCAACCTAGCGCACCAGAAAACACATTAGTCGACGATGTTTTCTTCGAAGGCCCACGAGGCAGAACGTAACATGACCGCCCTCAGGCGGCATCAATAGCAGCAACCTTCGCTGCCGCTTCTTTCTCATGCCAGGGGTGGCGACGAGGCACGAGCGGGAGGCATTCGGTTTACTGGACTGGTGCACAGCAGCCATTCGTCGACGAGCCGTCTGGTGAAGCTTGAAAGGCCAAGTGCTGCCGAATGTCGAACTGCTCGCGGCCGCGCGAATCACCCGCTGACGCTGCATCTGCCGTGCGTCACGCCTAGCGGCCACAAACAGCGCACGGAGGAGGAGGAGGAGGAGGAGGAGGAAACTCTGGCGTCACCATTCGCGTCAATACAATCTTTTGGAACCTCGCCGAGGAGTTCGCCCGCGCGGCGCTCGTGCCGAGGACTGAGAGGCCGCACGTGCACGGGCTTGGTCGTCCGACGCCCCGAGGCAGCCGAACCCATGAAGGCCGCAATCCTCCTCCTCCTCCTCCTCCTCCTCCTCCTCCTCCTCCTCCTGGGGGCTCGTGGAACATACGAGAATGATTTGGCCTGCATGCTCGGCACAGTGTCATCCCGACGCCACCTAGCACACGATATCCATGCGGCAAGCGCAGAGCGCGTTTGAGGAGAGACTTATCCCGACCACGAGGGCACGCCAACGGAAACTCTGCGTGCGGACGAACTCTGGAGAAACGGCTGGGGAAACTCAGGGGAGCGATGCGCGAGCCGATCTCGGACCGAGAACCGGGCGGATCCATGCAATGTCGAAGTCTGCAGTAACTCCGCCGTTCGCGCAGCAAGGGGAGGTCGGCGACTGAACTGCGTGCACACGAGTAGGCCCCATTGAGCCAGCCTCCACGACGCGTTTGCCTTGGATCGTTGAACTGCATTGGGATCCTCATGCGCCTTTTCTCGCCAGTCCTGCCCCCACGCTGCCTGTAGATGCTTGTAGCTGGATTGGCAACCAAGTGAACGTTAGATGCCCAAAGAAGTTGCCGACGACCGCGCCCCTGGTGAGCACGCACCCGCAGGCATGGCGACAGGATATAGCGGAGGATGAGGAGAAGAAGCAGCAGCACCAGGAAGATGGATTAACCTCAGGATGAGGGGGAGCGGCAGCAAGAGGAGGACGAGGAGCTGGAGGAGAACATCGAAAACGAGATCTTACGTTGTTCGGCAAGCAATCGGGCTGCGCGCAGGGGCCGTAACCAATGTGTTTTTGTTGGGGTGCGCTGACGCGGTCCACGGGTCGGGTCGGGAGCCGCCGACGGCGGACAGCGCAGCCGGGCCACGGGGCAGGGGGATGCATACCGAGGGCGCTAGAGTCCGAGCAGGGCGAGTTGAGACAACTGCAGCACAAAATCGGTCCCCGGACCCCTCTTGTCGGTTACATGCAAGAGTGACCCTGGGCAAGGGTGACCTTTGGGGTGCGCGGCTGAACAAGGGACGCGGGGTGGCCAAACCTGGGCGCGCAAGCCGCTGCTACCGCTTCGCGTTCGGCGATCGGGGGACCCTGTTGGGCCCGCAAGACAGGCGAAAGGTCACTCTTACGTCTTGTCGCTCTTGGGGTCCAAACGCACCAGCTTCCCGAGCTGCACCCAGCCGTGGCGACGAGGGCCCCCCCCCCAAAGGCCAGCGATACCGTCGCCTCGGCTCGCCCTCCTTCGAGAGAGGAGGAGCCGAGGCTGGGGGCGGCGCCAACAGAGGCCTCCCCAACGGAGCCCGAGCAGACGGGGTCGGAGGACTGCGCCGCATCGCCGATGGCAACGGCGACGCCGGTGTGGAGAAAGTCGAGCTCCACATCGAGCCGCATCGCCGATGCATCGGCGATGCGGCGCGCTCCTCCGACCCCGTCTGCTCGGGCTCCGTTGGGGAGGCCTGCAGCCAACCTCCAGACGATGCAGGAGGCCTGCAGCCAACCTCCAGACGATGCAGGCCCGAGGGGCGGGAGCGCCGGACCGCCGTGGCCGACACTGGCGCATCCTCGCCGTGGGCGCCTTGCATGCGCGAGGGACCACGCGCCGCTGCGACGGGAGGATGTGGCCGTGCACCAAGACGTGGTGTTAATTAGCTGGGCAGTGAGGTGGGAGCCGGCCGGCCAAGAGGGAGCCAAGACTTTGAGATCTGGGCGCTGCAGCTCCTCTCACACCAGGCGTTCTTGCCCGGCTCCGGGCCCCAGGGCCATCGCATATCAATTCGGCTTCGAAAGTGCAGCACGAAGATGGGGTCCAGGACTCTAGCTGTGATTTGTGCGATGCCGCGTATTTTTCTTCGCAACGTCGGATCCCAGGGGAGTGAGGGCGGGAGGTGCGAAGGGGTGGGAAGGCGCGAAGGAAGGGGTCAAAGGAGCGAGGCGGTGGGGGGGGGGGCGGAGAAGCAGAGAGAGGAGCATGAGCAGGAGGGGGGGACAACGAGGAAGAGAGTGCCCGCGCAGTGCGGGCGAGGACCTCCGTCACTCTCTTCTCTGCTTCCCGTGCTGCCTGTAGTACCCAATATACACATTCCACTCTTTTTCTAGTCGGTATCTCTGCTAGATTTGCTCTGCATGGCCCTTACATTTCCATGTGCTCCATCTGCCGTCCAAACTGGAGACAACTTATCTACGCAGTCTGCGGGCTCAGCCCTTTCCATTTAGAATTGAATTTGTTTGTACATATGCATACAGTTTGTCTGCTTTTTGCGCCCTCTCTCCACACACTCTCTCTCTCTCTCTCTTTCTTTCCCTCTCTACTTTGTCGGCTCTCTCCGCTCACTCACACTCTAATGTACTTGCTCTTTCTCTCTAACTTTCTCTGTACCTCAATATACTTGTTGTGCGCTCCTCAGCACTCCCATTTCTGCTATGTATATGTAGTTTCTTCACTCCCTGTGGTACCTCTCTGCTTCCCTCTCTGCCTTTCCCTCCCGCCCTCTCTCTCGGTCTCCTTCTCTCTCTCTCTCTCTCCCTCCCTCTCTCTCTCTCTCTCTTTCTCTCTCTCTCTCTCTCTCTCTCTCTCTCTCTCTCTCTCTCTGCGCACCGCTTGCCACGCCGCGACGTCCCGCGTTTGAGGGGGCGGCCGTTGGAGCGCCCGTCCTTTCGCGCCCCGGCGCGGCCCCGCCCACGCCAGCCCGAGCTTCTCTGCGGAGTGGCCCCCGCCAGCGCCGCGGCGGCCCTCGGCCGTGCAGGCGAGCCAGGCGCACCTCCTGCGAACGGCAGCCGCCCCTGGAGCCGGGCGCCGGGCCCGGACAAGGCCTGGGCTCCGCGGCTGGCTCCAGGCGGCGCAGCAGAGGCCTGAGCAGGGCAGCAGCCAAGCTGGCCTCGCGGCCTCGCCGTGTACGGGGTCGCATCCACCGAGCACGCGGCTCAGGTAGAGGCGCTTCTTCTTCTCGCCAGCTGACGCCGCCTTCCCCAGGGGCGGCGGGCCACCGCAGCGCGCCTTGGGCCCCTTGGCTCGGTCCGCCCCATGCAGCTGCGAGGACGCCCCGCACCTGCAGCAGAACGTGTAGTTCCTCTGCTGGCGCGTGGCGTGGCCGAGGTCGCGCTCGCGGATGTCATTCTCGCGCCTCTGGGTCGCCTCTCCTCGCCCGGGCAGCATTGGGCTGGGCGGGTTCCCGGAGCGGTGGCCTCGGCCAGGCGGGCGCGCCTCCTGCCTTCCTGCGCCGCCAAGCGGCCGTCAGCGCTGCCACCGTCGCCATGGCCGCAGCCGCGGGGAGCGGGTTCGGCTCGCGCGCAGCGCTGCACTCTCCGTCGCCAGCCTGCGGCGCGCCCTGCTCCGCCTCCGCGAGCACGTCGAATGGAAAGCTCGGTGTTTGCCCGTCATCGGCCTGGGCGGGCGGGACCAGCGGGGGCGCCTGCCAGGGTGGGGAGCCGTCGATGTCCCCCTCGCGCTGCGGGTCACCTCCGTCCACCTGGGCAGCTCCCACGGGTCCACCGCCTGGCGGTGGCAGGTTGGACGGCGCTGCTGCCTCTGGGTGCGGGTGGATGCCGTCGCCGTCGTCCACCGGGCCGAGTGCCTGGGAGGCCCGGTTGGCTGGGGTGTGCTGGGGCCTGGGCAAGGCCGCAGTCCTCGGCGCGCGGGCTTCTCCCCCGGGCCCTTCAGCTGGCAGCGACCCCCCGCGCGTGGGCAGAGGCGCCAGCGTGCTCGCCGCATCTCCCAGGGCCAACGTAACCTGCATGTCCCCCAAGCTGTGCCTCGCCTGGATCGAGTCGAGGTCGTCGCCCGCGCGCGGCCCCGAACCGCCGAGAGGCCGCCGCAGCGTTCCTGGCCGCGCTCGTGAGCCAGCCTGGGCCTGGCGGCCGCCGTAGACCCCGAGGTGAAGATCAGCGCGGGTTCCTTCAGCAGGGAGGGCAGCAAACCGGGGGTCGGCCTCCCGCCCCTGTTTTGCCCCGCCACGCCAGCCAGCTCCGCCGGCCCCGCCTCGTCGTCAGTAGCAGCGCCTGGTGCTGTGGGCGGTCCACGTGCCGCTTCGAGCAGGTGCTGCACCTTCTCATCCAGCGCCCAGAGGCGCCCAGCTGGCTCTGGCTGCCCGTGCCCTGGCGGGGCGGGGCAGCTCCGACTTGAGGTGCAGCGCGGGCGTCCGCCGCGGCATGCTTCTCGAGCAACTCCGCAGACTGGGGGGCCCCATCGACCGCCGCTGAGCTGACCGCGGCCTGAACGTCCCGCGCGGTGGTATTGCGCGCGGCGCGTAGCTGGCCCAACTCTGACGGCTGGCAGGGGCGGTGGTCCAGCAAGTCCTTCACCTAGGCCGCGTGGGCCTCGCACCCGCAGCGCGCGCGCTGCGCGCCGCGCGGCCCGAGCGTCTGGTGGACATGTCTCGTGAGAGTGAGGGTCGGCAGCTTCCTGTCGCGGGACCTCTCAGCGCGCCGACGGGGCTGGCCGTTCTCGCCCAGCGGCCGCCAGAAGTCTAGCTGGGAGATCCGCACTGCCGCCCAGCCCATGCAGACCGCCGTGTCCACGGCCGCGCAGTCCGCGAAGAAGTCGGCCCACCAGTTCCCCGGCCAGTTAGCGGGTTGAGCTCTTGGTCGAGGGCTTCGGCGAAGGGGCGGTGGGCAGAGGCCCGGCGGAAGGCTGGCGGCGGCTGTCCCGGCTGGCGCGCCGCCTGGTGCAGCTGGCACCAGATGCCTGCGCGACGGCCTCGTGCACTCGCTGCGCTGGGCGACCACCCGTTGCCCCCCTGGACCAGAGACTGGAGGTCGCTCGCGATGGTGCGCATGGCTCAGCATTCTCGAGCTGCTCCCGTACAGCCACCAGCAGCTTGCGGAGCGGCTCCTGCTCGCGCGGCTGCGTCGCGGTCAGGCAAGCACGCCGCCGATGGCGCAGCGTGTCGCGGGGGGCGCCGCGCGCCTGGCACCCCTCCGTTTCCGCGAAGTGGTGCGCGCTCCAAACGCTGGCGTAGCCGCTGGCTCAGAGGGCCTGGATCGCACTTTTCTCGGCAGCGGAGCACTTCCTGGTTGCGATGGCCCTCGCCGCCCGCAGCCGCAGTTGCTCGCCCTGGCTCCCGGGCAGGTGGCTGGCGACGCGCCTGCGCGGCCAGCGCTGGGCGCACTCCGCCAGGGCATCCTTGGCATGCCTGGGCGGCGTCGATAGCAACGCGAAAAAGCTCGCCGCGGTCGCTGCGAAGCACCCAGGCTGAGGCCATGCTCCAGCCAATGCGCTCCAGTGGGGGGCAGGTGGCCCCCGATGGCCCCGTGGCCGTGGCCCGTGATAAGGCTCGAAACCTTCGCCAGCTGCTGTCAGCTGGCCTGCGGCGGACCAGAGATCCCTTGAGCCCCCAGGCCCGCGCCGCCAGGCGGAGCACCGGCGGGGCCGCGGCCGAGAACATCGGGTCGCAGTTGACGCGCCCCTCGAGCAGCAGGGCCGCAGCGGTGCCGCAGCCAGGCTTGGCGCCGGCCGTGACGGCCGCCAGCGCGCGGAACTGGGCCAGCGGGCGGTCCGCCAGGCTGGCCGCGGCACGACGAACCTCGGCGCGTCGGGGCATCGCTGGGCGCTGGCGCCGCACCAGCACAACGGCCAGGCGCCTCTTTTCCTGAGTGCGCTGGACTTTGCGCACATGCAGCCCGCGCCCCAGGTTGCGGACCCAGAACTTCTCCTGCAACCCCAGCGTCCGTGTGCTCGGGCCGATGAGCTTGGCCCGACGCCTGGATGATGCTAGGTGCCCCGACTCCTTGGGCTGCATCACCAGTCTTAGCCCCTTCATGCTGGCAGCGAAACTCAAGGGGGCAACTGCCACATCGCCACCGTGCTCTTCGCGGCGTCGTCGACCAGGCCTCGCAGCGCGACGGTGGGCGCGATGGCGTTGGCCCTCTGCAGCGCACGCAGGGTGAGTACCATCAGCAACGGGTTTGCGCGGCCGCGCCCTGCAGTGTTCTCCTGTCACGCGACGTCGCCTCTACAAGGATTTGAACGCCGCCAAGCTGCGCATCTGTCGGTGCGTCGCCAGCAGCGGCCAGGTGAGCCTTCAGGGGGAGTTGAGGGCGCGCGCCTCGCGCACCTGCGCCCCGGGGTCCACCATCTCGTACGCCTTCCAAAAGTTCATGGCCGCCTGGGAGGAGTCCCAACCACGCGAGGTAGCCTGCTCCTTGAACAGGTTGAGCTCATGGGCTGAGTCTGGCTGGCTCCGTGCCCCAGGCCAGGACTGCGGGCGCCATCGCCGCTAGCGCCGCGTCGGACAAGTCCCCCAGGGCCCTGGGCGGCACCCCTAATTACCCAAAGCCTGTCTTCCATGGGGGCGAGCGGATGACGTCCCGCAGGTCGTGGACTTTCAAAGCGGGCAAGGGGTGCCAGGTGCTCCATTCGGCAGGGCGGTCCATATTCTTGAGGCCGTGGTAGTTCCAGATGGCCTCCTACGGCGCCAGTTCGCGGTCCACCAGCGCATTGGACTCCACGTCGTCGCAGGCAGGGGGGCCTGTTGGGGCGCGGGCACCTTGGAGACGTAATGGGCAGTTCCTGCACCTTCGCTGGAGGCGCCCCGCGCCAACTCTCTCCAACGCGCCTGGGCGGCCGCCGCGTGCCCTTCTCCTGCCGGGCACCCTCGTCGACGATGCGCTGCAACTCTTGCCTCCGCCCAGGGGCGGTAGAGGTGTCGTCGCCGCGCTGAAGGGCGCTGCCGCGCCCGCGGCCAGAAGTGCTTCCAGTGTCCACTCGCGCAGACATTGCCGAGGA